GCATTTATTTCTGGTTTCCAGCAAAAAAAACACTCCATAATGTTTTAGCTATGGGTTCGCTTTATGACCGCTGCGTTTGCTTAATAACTGCCATAAAAATGGTCATAAAATTGGGTGTTGTCACATGGTGATCTGATTTATGACTGCCATATGACTTAAGAGAGTCAAGCTTTCTACTAGAAACAATCCAGAGGCCTGCCAGGAGAATAATAAAAAGCCCCACACAGACATCTAGTGCCCAGATTACATTTTCCTGAATCAGAAATGTACAATGATTAAAAAACATATTGTATATACATGGCAGATTGTTACTATCTTGTCTAGCCCTGTTCCAAAGCTTTAACTAATAAGAAGGAAACCAAATACACAAGAGTCACTCAACTACTGTGTTTCCCTGAAATAAGCACTTGGCCTTATTTTCGGGGAAGTCTTATTAATTTTGAGGTTCAGGAGGCGGTGAGTGTCGTCACCTCATCGCGGCTGCTGGGTTGCAATATTTTCGGGGAGATCTTATTTTCAGGGAAACAGGGTAATATCCAACTTCAGACTTCAAATCTTATTTGCTCTCCCCGATAGTTTTATCTTTACTGTCCATATCGCAGTCATTTCTACAACTCTTCCAGGTAACTTTGCTTTTTCTTCTACCTACCACAAAGTGGCTGCTGAAACCACAAACTTACAAAGCAGGCTTCTTTTTGGAAAAGGAAAGGAAATTCAAACAGTCAAAAACAGTGAACAGTACGGTATTTTTGTTCAAATTCACATCAGAGCAATTGTTAAAATAAACAAAGTCCTTTTAACGCTAGATTACAAACTAAGACTTACCTTTCTATAGTTGGTATAAGGGAAGGTGGTGGTCCTCCAGGTGGGGGAGGAAAGCCTGAAATATTTAATTATTAAGAGGTTGGGTTTAAATTGAAAACAAATTCAAAATTAAGTTAGTGCATATTAGCTGGGCCCTAGCAGAAAAACAACGCAACAACATTTAGTAAAACTTTGTAGCAATAAATGATAGATAAAATAATGCCAAAATAAAACAGTTTGCGTAGCTTATTTTTTAAAAGATATTGTACACTTAAATATATTCTAAAGTTCTTCTAATTCTTCAACTACTTTGAGCAAGTTGGCAACTCAAATCACTCTGAGTATTAATGAGGTCCTCCAAAGAAAACTGAGTGCATTTTTTAAAAAAGTGGGATATATTCAAATGTTCCTTATACGAAAAAGGAATTCACAGTTAAGTTTCATGCTACTTTTAAAATAAATAAATATACCTGGCGGTGGCACAGTTATTGGTATACCTAAAACAAAAAAGATGCACCCAGTCATTTCAGCAATGAGTTTATATTGTCTCATTCCCATATTGCGGTTCCCATATTGGCATCCATGCCAACAACATATTATTAAAAATCCAATAAGAATTGGCAGTAAATTAATTTCTACTACCAATCCGTATTGGTTTCAGTCCAGAAAGGTTCTGTGTGTGTGAATCTACACAAACAGCAGAACCTGATCATTTGTGGCCGTGTCCATGCAAATAAATGAATGAATAAATTAAAAAAAACTCTACTGCATGCACCCACGTTAAAATATGTGCCCAACAAATGTACTGGCACCGTTTCCATATTAATGACTTGAAATCTGTTGAGCAAGAGTAGATGATGACATTATTTAAATAGTGAAGACACAATACAATTAGAATTTTCTGATTATATATATATATATATTTTAAAAAACCTTTTGATATTTATGGATCATTAAAGTCTAGGGCCCGTATCATCTAGATAGGAAGTTATGTTATCCATAATGAACATATTACAAAAAGGTAACTCTACAAATATTAAGTTTAAAGTAACATCTTGTTATTTTTCTTGGAAAGAATACACATGCACAATTTAATGGGGAAAAAACCCACCTGTGCCTTTATATCCTCAATGTTAACAGACAAGGCAGCAAGTTCAAAAGGTAAAATGACAGGTTAACGTTAACTGGGCCATACGGTTCTCATTAAAAGAATTTTTTTTTTTAAAAAAAAACAAGAGAATAATCCTCCTATTGACACATCATACCAATCGTGGCTGTTTGATAAAACTAACTTTAGCAATGATGAAATGCCTGATATCTTACTTGAGAGAATGGGAATTAGACCACTTTTATATTATAAAATGTCACAGGAACAAGTACATAGCATAGTTAATTCTGTCAATTAAATTGTTTTGTCATTTTGTTCATGAATCCTAAAAGAAACAGCTCGGTTGTCTCTTTATACCATCTAGTTCCAGTAACTCTTCTCTGTAATATTTAGTCAGCTTTTTAGGTTTATATTTTTAAACAACATCAATTCTTCCGGTCTCTAATGATATTTGCATCACAGACAGCTAAGTGAACACAGAACCAGAGCTTCAAAGAAAAATCCCCTTTCAAAAGGATCATCCCAAAGGATGTTTTATATTGGAATGTATGAAAACTTTCCGGGCAGAAGTTCCAAGTTAATAATAATAATATTGGCTAACAAGAAACTAATAAGAAACGTTTCTATCTCAATAGTGGAGGAATGGGCAGATTTTAATTTTGGTTTTGCTCTTTGAAGATGAAATGCTGCAAGCCTGAAAGAGCCAAAGTAACAATACTCCCCCCCCCCGCCCGCCCGCAATTGTTTCCAAGTGTATGAAATTGCAAGTGATTAAAAAAAAGGGGGGAGGACCCTCAGGGCGGGGTTCATCTGATAAACTTGTGCCTCCTGCTTCAAACAATGTGCTTGACTGCTGAATTACGGCTCATATTGAAGATGAACTGCAATAGAAATCTGACTTCCTGCCTCTCCAAAAACTTAAGAATGGGGTTTTAATAGGTTTTATTTTCTCATTCCTCACACCTTCATTTCATCGATCAATTACAAGTATAGGTACACGGGTAGTCCTCGACTTATGGACACAACTGAGCCCAAAATTTCTGTTTGTTCAGTGAATTTCACTCCATTTTACGACTTTCCTTGCGACAGTAGTTAAGTCAATCACGGCAGTAACTCAGTTGTGAAGGGAATCTGGCTTCCCCCGTTGACTTTGGTCACTAAATGAACTACCTGTAGTTATGCGGGAATGAACTCCCTCAAATAATGGAGTTTGTTCAAATTCAAAATTGTGTCCTTATGGGACAAGATTGTTGCCTGTCAATTCTGCTATTACGTTTGAGCAGGGGTGTCCAAACTTGGGAACTTTAAGACTTGTGGACTTGCTGGCTGGGGAATTCTGGGAGTTGAAGTCCACAAGTCTTTTAAGTTCCCAAGTTTGGACACCCCTGTGTTTGATTTGATTTTTGATTTTATTGTATTTCTATGCCACCCTATTCCCAGAGGGACTCAGGGTGGCTCACAAACCAAGTCAAGAGGGTGAGGAAGAGAATTACTATGATCTAAATAGAGAAGCTGCACAATATGTGCTATGAATGTAGTGAAGTTCACTTCCAAGTGCAGATGCTCAGGGTTCCAGAATGTGTCATTTTGCTCCTTCCCATTTTTTTTTTGTACAGGCTGGATATATTTGAGCACACAGTGACAGAAGCTATGAATGTGTCAGGAAAACAGAAGTTTTCCTATGGAGCTTCGCAGTCCCAAAGGTGCCTTTTCCCCCCCAAGAGGCCACTGGACTTTCTGGGTTTTTCTTTGAAGACGTTTTGCCTCTCATCCAAGAAGCTTCTTCAGCTCGCAGCAAAAGCTTCTTGGATGAGAAGCAAAACATCTTCAAAGGAAAAAACAAATTGCCTCTCGAAAAAGCACCTTTGGGACAGAGGTTTTCTACTATTTTGGCAAAAATAGATGTAGGCAATACTTTAATTTGTATTTAGGGAAAAGAAGCATGCAATCATTGGGGGAAGAGAGGAGAATACACAGGGAAGACAAGAAATACTGAACGATCTCAAAGCTATTCTTAGACAAATTAGTATAATCTTATATTCAAATAACCAGATTTCCTTGTAATTCAGTTTGTAATACAACCCTGACAATAAACTACAGGTGAAAACTTACTATGTAAATGTTTATTTTATAAACTCTAAAGAATTTTACTTCCAAAACCTAACATATAGCAGTTTATATAATTGTTTATCACGTTATTTTATTTTAAATGAAATAATTATGATTTTATTTTTTTATCTGCCAGCTCTCAGAAAGCTGCACTCAACTATGTTACTGTTGTAGCTATAGTGTGAAGAATAAGGGAAAGTATACTGTTCATATACTGCTACCACCTACATTATGATCTTTCTGGAACCAAGTGAGTATTTTTGTTTTCTCGGCACATTTAAGGACCCAATTTGGAGTTACTGAGTATTACTGATTTGTCGGTTGTTTAATGCAAGTTCAAATACTCTGTTTATTGCTGTGGTTTCTACACTGTTTTCCTGAAAATAAGACCGAGTTTTATATTATTTTTAGCTCCAAAAGATGCATTAGGGCTCATTTTCTGGTTAGATCTTATTTTGGGGGAAATACAGTTACTAACTGCGTCCGTCTGGCTGATGATCTTAACTGGGGGTTATTAGGGCTTATATTACGAGCATCCTGAAAATTCATGCTAGGGGGCTTATTTTCCAGTTGGGTCTTATTTTCGAGGGAACAGGTTATTGATTATGATCTATTGTGCTGCTGCTTCTGTTTTATATTCTATGTAATTAATATGGATAGTGAGAAAATTCCAATTGTTGGATTGTCTAAAATTGAAGCAAATTAATAATGAATGCACTTTGCAAATACCTTCAGTGCATGAATACCTATCAAGGAATAAAGTGATTCAAATTACCCAACAATTTATGCTGTCCTGTTTTAAATTTAAGGTGGTCATCAGAAGACAGCTGGTCCAATAACCTTATTTGTTCTTTATACGTTAGTTCAAATTTCACATGAAGCAAATTACAGCTGAATGAAACCCTCCAAAGACCAGGAACCATTTACTTAGAAGGGACATCACAGAAATAATTATGATTTTTTTTCAGGAAACGAGGAGAAATTTGAAACCTACTTCAGAAATGAGAACATACTCTTCAAGAGAAATAATTATTAGAAGCCACCTAGAATATTACAGCTTCCAAATAAATTGAATTTTGTTTAGAACATGTCTAATTCTAAATATGCAACATTGTGGTTTCAGGTATACAGGTGTGGAACATACATTGCAATTGAAACACCACCCTTTCCCCCCCACTTTTCCTTTTACCTGGAGGAGGAATTAGAGGAGGAGCAGTACTAACTGATGGAGGCGGTGGAAGGAATGGAGGTGGAGGAAGATGGGTGGGCGGAGCTCCTGGAGGGAAAAACGGAGGCGGCTTGGAAAAACTGTTGTCTACATCACTGCTGGAGCGTTCAGAAAGAACCTATAAATAAAACCAATTTTATATTTGCCTTTGGACAAAAAGGGAGTGGAAAATGTACTTTCCTCCCTGTCGGGACCTTCTACCTCTAAACTAATATTTGCATTTTTTCTGCTTCCATTCAATGGAATAATCAAGAGCTTGGAGAGGGAGAGGCAAGTAGTGCAATGTTTTGCAATAAACCTGTCAGAATATTCATGAGCTGGAATAGGACATAGCAACAGGTCAGCCATTGGGGACTGGCTGNACCAAAAAGGATGTTCGTCTGTTTCTTCCATTATTTGAAACGGGAACTTTGAAAACCCTTCATCTACCATATTTTTTGGAGTATAAGACACACCTTCCACCCTCCCCCCAAAAGAGGGTGAAAATTTGGGTGCGTCTTATACACTGAATGTAGCCCACCCACCCACTGGCCCCAACCCTTTGGCCTCTGCCTCCCAGCAATTTACTCCCTTGAAGCAAACAGGGGCTGGCAATAGGCTATAGCAATCCCCGAAGCCTGAAACAGCTAATGATCGGGAGAAATTGAAAGTGAAACTTGCTGTTTGCTCCACAAGGCAAATTGCTGGGAGGCAGAGGCAGACAAGCCAAGGATTCAATTCAGGAAGCCAGATCCACTTAATGACGTGATTCATATGATGAATATATAATAAAAATGGTTATACAATTGTGTCTGGTCATGCGATGAGTCATTTTGCGACCATGCTGACTTACGACAGAAATTCTGGTCCCAATTACTGGCAACAAATTGAATTATTGGTTATAAATTGAATTATTGGTTATAAATTGAAAGTAACTCCTATTATCAGGAGTCTGTGCTAAAACATCAATTTCTGAAAAAAGCCAAATGTATCTAAAGGAGGATACAGATATTCTTTCTATGTGCAGAGGGATTCATTTCTGGATGCTGCCTGATGCTCTAAACCGCTGCAGAGTCACTGCTTAAAAGTGCCATTAGTCACTGAGAAATTATTTTCTTTATAAAGCTTTTCAAATAATTGGCTGAAATTATACCAAATACTAAATCATGTGTAGGGCATCATATTTATCTGGAAGCAAATCCCAGTCTTACAATCTAAAATGGAAATCCATGCACTTATTTCCCAAATGGCCTGATTCTGGCGCATTCAGGATTTGTAGATAATCAAGGCGTTTGGATTTCTTTTCACTATTTCATTTGAGCAGTCCCGCTCTTAAAAATGCAAGCAGATAATCATCCTGAACAATGTATTTAGGACAAAAAACATTAATTAGAATGTACTGAACGACCTCACAAGATGACACCCCTAGCACTGGAAAGTGAGTAGGGCAAGGCAAGGAAAAGCCACTTGGTTTCTCCTTTTTGAAGGATAAGGAATTTCTGAGCACCAGAATTTTTAATCTTCCTTCAGTTAGAAGCATAGGTTTCCATTATTACCAAACAGGACATCACCAGTACAATTTCCACACCAGGAACGTTCGGAGATTCACAAATACTAAACTTAGAATGAAATTACAATGCTCTAGAACCATGATGGCAAACCATGCGTGCCACAGGTGGCACGTGGAACCATATTTGGTGGCACGCCGGCTGTCAGCTCCGGCGTACATGTGTGCGCTGGCCAGCTGATTTCTGGAAGGTCTCCAGGAGAGGCTGTTTTTGCCCTTCCCAAGCTTCAGGAAAGGCTCCAGAGCCTGGGGCGGGGACGCACGTGCATGCACGATGTGTGTGGGTGTGCCGTGCATGCATGCGCAGGTGGCAGAGGGAGATTGCAATTTTGGCACACTGTAAGAAAAAGGTTCGCCATCACTGCCCTAGAAGAAATATGTTGGATTAAAAATTAATTTAAAAGGGGGAATCTATATAGGAGCTCTGGATGGGAATGACATGTGAAAAGGCAGCAAGCAATTTCCCCATAACAACAAAAGTTAAAAAAGAAAATATTGACGATGTATAAAACGAGAATTCCGAGGGGCCTTTTTTTAACCACAGCCTTACCACTATTAACCACAAGAGGGAAAATCATTAAATCTAAATAGAATAAAAAGCTGATTCCTAGAGAAGTTCAAGAAAAAGGTAGCTTTGTGTTACTCAGAATATCCCCAGTGTCTCCTGTTATTCAAAAGGCACCATAGAATATAGGACTGGAAGGGACCTCAAGAGGTCTCTTAGTCCAACCTTCTGCTCAAGGCACGAGGCCTTATGCCATAGTCCAGGCAAATGGTTCTTTGAAAACCTTCAGCAATGGAGCATCCTGGAAGGCAAACTGCTCCACTGATTTATTGTTCTCCCTGTCAGAAAAATTCTCCTTAAGTCTCGCTTGGATCTCTCTTTAAACAAGCTTCCATCCTTTACTTCTTATCTTGGCCTCTGATGCTTTGGAGAATCTTCTATGTGACAGCCCTCAAGTACTGGAAGACAAGGGATCATACCCACCCCAATCCTTTTCTTTTATAGGCTAAGACAGTTACGGCAAACGTTTTCGGCACTGAGTGGCCACAATGGAATGGGCGTGCATGTGTGCATGCCAGCGCCCCAGAACCCCAAAGACTAGCTGGACGGGGCTCGCATGCCTGTTTTTGGGCATTTTTCGGGCTGTTTTCAGGCCATTTTTTGGCACTCTGGTGCCCGTGAAGAAAAATGGCCTAAAAATAGCCCAGAAAACAGGCCGGGAAAATGACCGCCAAACAGCCCGAAAAATGGCTTGTTCTCCAGCACCCGCGGAGACCAGCTGGCTAGCGCACCAGAAACCAGCTAGCAATGGCACGCATGCCCACAGAAGGCTCTGCGTGCCACCTCTGGCACACATTCCATAGGTTCACCATGGCGGGGCTAAGACATTCCTAAGCATCAATCTATAAAATATGGATTGAAGATCTTTGTTCTAAAGAGTGTTGGATCAGACTGCTCAAGGTAATGTTACTGAATTCCTCTGACAACAATCCAAAGACAATATGGGGTAGCAAACTTTTTTTTTTTTTTTAAATGAGGGTAGGCTCAGGAGTCTTCTGGTGCTAATGAGGATACTGGTTCCTTTTCTGTTTTTCGTGTAACGTTCAGCATTTATTGGAAAATAGAAAACCTAAAATCCAAAGGCGAGATGTGCCCCCAATTTCTTGGCCTTTGGAAAACATCTAAAGATCTGCCATCTAACTTAAAAGCTCACAGAGCATTATTAATTCACGGGGCTGATTAGCGCTCCCGAATGCTCTTCCCCATGCCTTTTAATTACCTTTTAATATTGAGATTTACTATCACTGCTCCTATTTTCATTTCTTAAATTCACTTTGTGTCTTTAACATTTTATCTGTATAATAGCCCAGAGTCCTTCTGTGAGTTTTTTTAAAGCTTTTAAATTTGATAAAATAATTTCAGAAAAAAAAAGTACCCTATTTTTCGGCGTATAAGACGCACCAAGATTTTGAAGAGGCAAACTTTAAAAAAAAAGTTTTTACACACTGCAAACCTCCCAAAAACGGCCCTTTTTGGCAAAAACAGGCCCGTTTTTTTTCTTCAAAAAAAAAGGGGGGCATTAGGAAGCTTAGAGAGTGCTCCTGGGGGCTGTGAGGGGGGGGGCAAAATTGAGCAAAAAACGGCCCATTTTTTGCTCATTTCTGCCTTCCCCAGCCCCCAGGAGCTCTCCGAAAGCTTCCTAGAGGCTCTGCACTGCCATTTTGGTGAAGGGGGCAGGGTTTCAGGAGGCAAAATTCGGCGTATAAGATGCACCCAGATTTTTAGCCTCTTTTTTGAGGGAAAAGGTTGCGTCTTATACTCCCAAAAATACGGTATTTGTAATTAACTGCTTATATTGCATGCTATAAATCTAAGTCCTCAACTTACAACCATTTGTGTAAATGATCCAGAATTATGACAGCCCTTAGAAAGGGTACTCTGCAACCTGCTGCACAACTGCATCTGGTTGTTTCAAAACACTGCACCCACAGTCCCACAGTCGTATGATTGTGATCTGGGAGCTTGGCAACCTGTTTCCATTTATGACCAGCTGCTACCTTCTCCGCTAACCTGCGAGATTGAACGACCTGCCCAGATTGCTTAATGACCACAACCGGAAGCGCTGGGATTGCTGTTGTTGAGAAC